ACCTATAGGTGCGAGTTTTACTATACTAGACTCATGGTTTTTTACTTGGTTAATAGAACTGTTATTAATGCTCTGAGGAAAATCAAGTTTACGAGAAATCCAATCTATTCGAGGATTATACTTTTCTAACCATGATAAGCCTAAAATTACTGGATTAGAGGGAGATCTAATTATATTAAAAATTACGCAACTACTATGACCATTTATTACTACATCTACAGGAAGTGTTTCGTGAGTTACATCTCCAGAAGACAACGGACGACCATCTATGACTTCTACGTGTACAGGTTTAGTTTTTTGTATTAATGATATTCTATGACATCTAGCAAATTCTTCATCTAAAAAACAAGATGAGGCTCCTGAATCTACCAAGGCAGAGGCTTTGTAATTATTAGGTCCTAAACGCACATCTATTATAAAACAAGGAGATGGTTCTGAGGAGAGGATAGGACCTTTATTAGAAGTTGTACAAGATTCCAGCCGCACGGTCCCTATTGTAGCTGGACGTACTCGTTTTCCGACATACTGTCTTCTTTGACAGCCGTACTCCTCATTTTGTAGTTACGTCGCTTCTTTGGACAATGTTGAGCAGTGTGCTTAGATTCTCCACAATATAAGCACAATCCTTCTTGTCGACGACGAGACTTTTCTTGCTCAGTAAGAGGTTTGAAACGTACCGCATTAATTTGCATATCCTCTACTTCTGAAGGTATGTGTTGAGGAGACGTCGGTGTTGCCATTGAATTGTAGTAACGTTGAGGCCCACTTGTGCGACTCTCGGATCGAAATTCAAAAAGTCGATTGTCGCACTTCACATCAAAGTCAATTGCTTGACTCAATGTTTGAGGATCAGATAAATTAAGCATCAATTTCTTTACCTCATATTGTAATCCGTAGAGAAATTGACTCACAAGTGCGGCATCATCCCACTTGATATCAGTTGCAAGTTGTCGAAATTGCGAAGCATATAATGTTACTGATCGATTGCCTTGTCGCAAAATACGGATCTTGTTGGTTGCAACACGAATTGCATCATGTTCTCCAAACATGGATCGAAACTCCGCCAAAAAAGCCTCCAGATTATCCAATATTGGATCTCGTCGTTCAAGAAAAGATGAAAACCATGACAATGCTGAACCTGAAAGAAGTGTACCAATGAATCTTACTTGTGACCCTGGAGTTGGATAGCTCTGGGGTTGAAGTTCAATCACTAGTTGGACCTGATTGATGAATCCTCGAAACTTGGATCTGGTACCATCAAACTTCTCGGGCAAGGCAACTCTCGGTTCTCTAACACTCGAAGGGTGTTCCATTCTGGGAGAAGGGACATGGTTTGGTGCAGATGTTGAAGCAGCCCCAATCATCTCTATATCTTCACTTCCTACCATTCTTGTTGCTCCTTGTGGTGGTAAATTGAGTTGATGCATCGCAAGCATTAACTCCCTCAATTGTTCTTGCATCTGTGCCATTGCACTCTTCATTTCAACAAGCTCTGCCATAGTAGCACTTAGAAAAGAGAAGATGCCTAATAACGCTCAAAACAAATAGAAGAGAGGAATTGATAACAAAGAAAATACTAAGAACAATATCAGTTTAAAAGAGGGTAATCCGCAACTTCTAATGCGCTTATGTCTTATCAAGAAAAAGGGGTAATCCACTCTTAATCAAGAAAAGACAAAGCTCTGATATTGTAAGTGTACTCTTGTCAATCTGTCAAGGACAAGAACTCGATGAAAGCTAAAGAGTAAGTGAGACTTTTCTCAAAAAGAAATAGGACAAAATAGAAATATGTATATTAAGAAAGAAACTGGAATGGCTATTGCCAAAATACAAGAAAACTAGAGACCCTTGAAACTAGACTAGAAGCAAGAAAGGAGTTGACAAGAGTGAAGAGGGCTTCACTCTTGCCTCTATATATACTATCTAACTAGAAGCCACGTGGCGATGTTCTATAAGACCTCCAATATATGTTGACTTTCTAGGCCACATGCCTTTGCTTGCAAGGCAAGTTTTCTATGGATGGACCACGTAGTTAGCTTGTTCTTTAAGCTTCCAACATGCGTGGCACATGGCTAACTTGTTGACCAAGTTTCTAACCTAAAAGTCAACTATAGACTCCTATAAAGTCAAAGCAGCATCTATGAAGCTTCTAAGAAGCTACTCTAGAAGATATTACATAATTAACCTACTTTTACATACTTTTATCTATTCATATAGGTAATTATATGTATGTCCGTGACACATAGTTAACTTGTTCTACAAGCTACTCACATATGTGACATGTTGCTAACTTGTTGACCAAGTTTTTAACCTAAAAGTCAACTATAAATACATGTAAAGTCAAAACCATGTCTATAAAGCTTCTCGAAAGCTTTTCTAGAAGATATTATGAAATTAATCTATTTTTATTTATTTTTACATACTTTTATCTAATCATATAGGTAATTATTATAATATATATATATATCCATAATAGTATGTCTTTGACAAAATATGTATGTCCATTATATATACATGTCATTAATTTATCATATAAGTATTATAGTTAATTTTTAGAAGGTATTATCTAATCATAATATGATTTTTTTTTAAATATATTTTCTAAAAATTTCCAAAATAATACTTCATAGATTATGTAAATGCTCTTGAGCTAAAAAAAAATTAAAACTATATTATAAATATTTCTCATAAATTAGTCACAACTTTTATAAAATAGAGAATATATAAAGTTTGTTTTTAGAAATAAGCCATATTTATAGAAGAAATTCTTTAGATATTTGAAAGATCCAAAAAAATTGGTCATTGTTTAAAAGCTCTTGTTTATGGATATTTTGCACGCAAAAAAAATATTAGGACATTTAATAATGAGGCAAGGAGTGATATGAAGACTAAAAAACTTGTATGTTTTAACATGTTAGCATATAAAAAATTAATTTAGGAAGTAATAAAAAATAAAATAAAATATCAAGCCACTGTCAATAAGGCATTGTTAACAAAATCATGCCAATCTTGGATGACAAACAAAATCTTTACAGCACAAATAAGCCTGTCAATTAAATAAAACCATAATTACATATTTGGAGGTCTATTAGTTCTTTAGATCAAAGAAAGCAACTATCATGTTTAGTTAGATAGTGAAGTAACCATGCTTCAAAATTTGCCTTAGACAAATGATGATAGGAACTTGAATAACTCTCAACCACTTCTAATCAATGCAAAGGATATATCCTTTTGTACCAAAATATAAATAAGTAAACAAAGAAACATAAAAATAAAAAACTGAAACCATGGTAGAAGAGGTGCCGATTCTACGTCCCAATGTTACAGACGTCCTTGGAATGGGAAAAAGAAGAAAGAGAAAAACAGAGGAAAAAATGTCATGTTTGTTTCATTAGTATCGGTACTTCATGTATTGAATGCCGCTCAGGTGACCGCTGTTGTGACAAAGTCTGATGACAGGGGGATCGGAAAGGTTTCGGTGTTTTAGAAATGGTCTCACTTCATTCTTTTTCACATCTTGAATCTTCGGGGGCTGACAGTGTTCCTATTTCATTTCTGTGATTTTGGTCACTGGAATTGCCTGGCATCGATGGATTCTACCTAGAGGTCGAAAGTACCCAATTGTGGGTCCTTCCCTAGTCTTTTTGTTGTCTAATTTTGTTTTCACTCAGAGGGGTCGGTGAGAAATGTCTGCCCTATGATAGAATTGAAAGGTGTTCGACCTAATGGTAATTCAAACAGCTGTACATCGATTGAACTGACAAAGTTCCACAAGAGAATTGTGGTCAGAGCTGGAAAGTAGAAGACTAGGAATCTACTTTTGACCGTAACTGTCTTGCAGGGTGCCTGGTTTTTTTCCCCTCGATTCCACATCATCTATTGAGTAAACAATCACACCACAAAAAATAACTTCACAAGTGCAGCCAAAATGACATGAACACCAAATTTTGAACAAGTTCGTTTTGCATGTTCTTTTTGCATGAAACTATGGAGATTCTCGACATTCTGTTCAGCCTGGTACTTTTAACGGAAGTGGTTTTCAAGAGAACAAATGAAATGAAGTGTACTTCGGTGGTTACAGTTTTTGGAGTATGGGATCAGTTATTTCACTTACGCTGATAAACACACCACACGATTGGTCAAACAGGCTGAAAACTATTTCTTCCACTCTCAGAATATATTAAAGATGAATTACATATTGTTATGCCGTCCAATCGTCAAACAGTATTTATCATAATTCTTGTTTCGGATAACTACTATGTTGCGTAAAATTAGTGCATGAAATCAGATATATTGCATGAAATCAGTAATATGATAAATACTGATTTCATGTATTTAATAACTGAGATTGCAATACAAAGAATCAATGCATGAAATCAGATATCATCGATATGAATAGTATTTATACTTTTTGTTTAATTTATGCTCGGAAACAAACAATCTTTTCCAAATTTTTTTGTGAAGTTCCCGTCGTTACTTTCTATAATACAGATGCAGGACCGTGGAAAGAAACAGTTGAATTGTACATGGGTAGAAATATAGTGCAACCCAGTTGGACAGTCTGATAAATCTCTACGTATGCAAAGATGAGCTCAGATGGGAACCTTGTCTTCATCGCCGTGTGTTCGAAGGAGATTTCTCTTTCACCCACTTTGTCACTGCCATACCCCAATCCGTTTCCTGACAAATTGTTTTTTTTGTACTTATGAATGTAGGTCAGTAAGAGATGTCTTTGATCTTGTACAATCACCAGCTTTATGCCGCCGCCTTCGAACTAGAGCCAACTCACCTCCTCGCCTTGTTTACTTCAGCACCACATGATAGCTCTAATGACTCAGGAGGGCTACGAAACCGCAACATAGGTATTGCAGCTGTGGGCCCACAGCATCGTGAACCTCATGGGCCTACCAGTCTATGTCCGAGGATTTCGGTAGCCTGTAAGAGCCTCACCAAGATTGGATCCTCATCCACACAGTCCCCATTTGTGCGTTAGATCCTTCTGCGAAAGGTTAATCGGCCAGCGTGTCATCCTTGGCTAGTTGCTCGGCATATTGCCTTCACACTCATCAGGGACTCTGCCCAACGACCTTCATCTTCCTTGTTTTGTCTCACTGTGGGTGGAATAGCGCAGTGGATGAGGCACGCTCGAGCGATCGGCAGTATCTGGATTTTCTGGCATCTCTTCTCCCTCTGTGTCGTTGTCTCGTATGAGTAAAGCATGTCCTGACGAAGTCTCAAAGACGGTCGATGTGTAGAGATGTGCTTTATTCTCCTTGGGGTGCTCTCTGAAGTGTGAGGCGAGTTTTTGTTGGGCTTTCTGCAGATTCGACGGAGCCAGATTGCTGGATAGTTGCAGGCTCTCTTTGTCTCAGATTTCAGTCATGCAAACATCTTCAGGAAGCAGTTGTCCAAGATCGGTTGTGTCTGACTTGTTGCACACAATTTGACTGACGATCGGTGCTGAGCATACTTCGTGGAGGTGGATTAGTTGATTAGCAGCATCTCGGGTAGTGGTAGAAATCTCGGTCCACGGCAGGACCGTCAAAACAGATGGACTGCAAGCGCGGGATGTGCGAGGCATTTGTACATACAACTCGAGTGCAGCCTTATGTAGAACCGCAAGCGACAAGAACATTGCAACGGGACGAATGAGTCTCGTCTTTCAGCTGATCCGATCGCTAAGTTTCAGTGATGCTGAGCAAGTATCCCGTGCCCTGGTAATTTTGCTTTTGCTGTCCTACAGTGTATCTCAGTTGATCACGTCGAAACGTGCAGCATTTGTCTGCGAAGACGGAATTTGAATTTGCTTCTTGCTCCTAGAGAGTGGGTTTTTAGTCTTGACTTGTTTGTTTTAAGAAGAGGTTATTGCAACAGCTGGTATACACGACAAATTTGAAGGCTTCTTCTATATTGCCTCATGGGTTCTGTTGTACACCAGAGCCTGATGTCATAGATAGTAATATGTAAAACAGCGGCGTGAGCGCAGAAATAGCCCGTCTTTTGTCTTACCGAAATATCCACATGAGAATGTAGATGTCGCGTGATAATGAGTCGGTACGGGGATGGGTTGAAAAAGCACAGTTGCAAACTGTTATTATGAAGGTTATTGTAATGGTCATCATACTTGTCTGCATTGGAATAGGACGCAAGCATAGACTATCTGCAACTCTCTGAATGTACTCCTTCTTAATGACTGTAATTTATACAATAATCTTCGGGTGGTTAGATTTTATACAGTTGTTTCGGATGGTTAGATCTTCTAATATTCCGCAGTCGATCGTTTACCGTCAACTTTACAGTCAATTCATTGTCTTCAGTGTGACTAAACAAACCGCATGACCTGAATTAGAATCTTTGAACAGTTATGTATGAAATGCTATTTAGGATCGCTTCGATGCCTGACGAACTAGTTTAGATGCTTTAAACTGAAGAAGTTCAAAGTTGTCGACATGGAATGTCTTTCTGTCCTTCACTGTGACTTGGTTGATGCTAAGAATAGCGTGTTGGTTCTTACTGAGAAGAAACTATAAAGCAGTTTCAGGATGAAGGAGCATTGAATCAAGGTGTAGGTACTTTGTGTGTGTTGCACATTCTTAATGAAGTGTTTCACCTCCCATTTCTACTGGCGATATATTCTTACAAGTTTCACTGGATGTGTTTCAAATAGCATTTTGATGCCGTCTCTGTTGTGATACATTCGTACACATTTGAATGCCGATCAGGTTGTGCGAGAGGGTTCCATCAAGTAAGATTTTGAGCAAATTGTGCACAGGGTTCGGAAACTAAGGCTCGTCCTTTTCCTTGTTTGATTTCAGATATAATCCAACTACGCCTATAGAGATGAGATGTCGAGACCTCTACATGTTCCGAAAGCGGTGATCATGGGATTCTATCGGTTGTGCAGATGCAGTAGAAGTCCTTCTAAAGCGAGTCACAACTTGGGTGGAATATTCCAAACTGTGTTGTAACAAGGAACTATTCATGGCATGGTCACTAACATGGAAGAGCCACTAACGCGAGCTTACGAGAGATCGGTACAGAGAGACATTCAGGAAACCACCAAGGCAGTGGCATGGGCAGTGTTTCAGCACCGCAATGGAGGTGGGTCGAACCGTTACAATGGTGCTGTTCCAGCATCGCAGGCGACGCGCTTCAAGATTGAAGCACTCAGTAAACGTGAACTCGAATGTTGTCCTGAAACCAGGAGTCATGTGCCTCCAATTCAAGATGCCTCTAGTACTCTGTTTGATGCGTATGAGCTAGACTCTGTCTTCAAGCATCTTGATCGAGCTTTACAATCCGTCGACACTCATCAGAAGGTCTCATTTGATGCTCCTAAATATTACGACCAGGACCAGCAGTGCTACCCTCGACATGGCTACGGCGCTCCGGAAGACTATGATAGACCCGAGCAGCGATTTTGGCTCGAGAGCGTGCACAAGTCTCAACAAGTTTGTGGGAACTGTTTGGACACTGTAGACGAGTCGTGCCCGTTGGGAGACGCCCAAGACCAGTTAGGGTATGGATGCAATGGAAACAGAAGCAACAGATATGAATATCAATCTAATCCTAAACTGGAACTGAACTTGGACATGTACGACGAGCTTTGCAAGGATGTGCAGGAAGTTCTACCACAAGGGAAACTATTCAAAACAATGCAGTTTTTGCAGACGCGAAGCTGGGGGAAAGTGCTTCAAGGTCGAACCCGACACACCTCCTTCGACTCATCCTCAGAGGTTGCCCTTTTCAAAGATAATAAGGATAACCATCAATCAAAAAGCTCGAAGTTGCGTAGCATTTTCAGCTTGAAAACTGCCAAGGGTAGCCTTTCTCCAAGGTCTACACGTCAAGCGCGCATAGTGCCGGATGATTATTCCCAGAAGGGGCGCAAATCAAGTGAAGAAGGTGACCTTAAGAAAATCGGATTTGGCCCTTACGACGACGATTCTAGTGATAGCGCTCACAGCGATGGCTATGAAGCGCAGTACGTATCGCCAACTAAAACCAAGACCGGGTCACGACCCGCTCACAACAAACAGGTTCTCCTTTCCCCTGTTTTGAAATCTAGTGTGCAAATGGTGACTGTTCCAAACGTTTGCCGCACTGTTCGATTATCCAGCGACATGAGGAACCCCGACCCGGCTGAAGGACTCCGTGACCACCTTAGACATGGTTCGTTGGCTTACAACACACCTGTTTTATTGAAGGAGCCGAGGGAGCGCCGAAAGAGCTCCTACTCCCTTAATTCGACTCCATCCCTTGGTCAGAAATCTCGCAGAGCCATGCTGCACGATGATCGCGACGATTTCGAGCAGGGCAACTCATCGCAATACCTTCACGAGCATCACCATCACGTACTGGGTGAAGTTGAGGACAATGAGCTGACCGTCCAAGACATTGTGAAGCGAGCCTCGCGCAAGTCCTTCGACGAGATAGCGCACCGCATGCCCATTGGCCAGATTACTGGCTTGAAATTGCCAAAAACTCCGCTTGTTACCGCACCTGCCTCTGTCTGTAACTCCCCGAGCATGTTGTTTTTATGAGTAGATGTCGGTGATTCAGGTATAGATTGGTGTTCAACTAAATGTCAGCGTCTGTTTCGATCTTCAGGTGCACGAAGTGTGCGCAAAGCAGGTTAGTAATCTCGGGGCTACAAGTGCGTTCAGTAGAAGGCTCAACAAAGACGAAGGAGAACTGTAAGTCTGGATTTGTAACTGTAGATAGTGAAGGAGGTCGGTTGTCACGCTCATCGATCCAGACACAGTGTTGAGCTCTTGCAGGTGCATTGTACCATAATTTAAGTGTTCAGCTTCAGTAGTTTATCTCGAGTGTTCATGTGAGGTTTACACAGTTGCAACTATCAAGCTGCAGTATCTGTTGTGCTCGAGTCTACATTGATGCACATGTCCAACTGGGTCCAGTGGAGAAATGCGTGTATTAGTCACTCTTCGTCGCGCAATTCACTAGACAAACCATCCAACTGAGAAACGGATATCAATGTTGTGAAACATTTTTGTTTTTGTTTTTTTTTTGTTTTGTTTTGTTTTTTTTTTGACTGGCATGGATCCCTTCCGTGTAATACCCAGTTGCTCGAGACCTTGATATCTAGCACTGCAAAATCCGGAGCATATCCGGAGCATCTGAGTTGTATCCTCATATGAGGTTCTCTTTGTTGATTCTAGTTATTGACTCGTAAGTTGTTCACGTTGGTTACTCGGCAAACCACTATTTCCGTTTACTACTGTGATAGCTAACCGTCTCTTTCAAAACTAATCATCTGATATATTGTTCTTATAGATCGGCACAATGAGCACACCTGAACATGTTTGCTCCAAGGAACTATGCTAACTGGACCAAAAATTTACAAGCATTAGGGGATTGTGTTACAAAGCATATTCGAATGGGAGGATCTATGGGACTTGATACAACCAACATCTTCTGCAACACCGACGTCTGCGGATCCCAAGAGAGAAGAAGCCAGCACCCTACGGAAGAAAATGGAGCCTTCGAACATCATAGCTTCAGATCAGAGAAGAATTAGACGAGCCAAAGTCATGCTCAATTTGTTGATCAAATCTAAGTTACAATATTCCAGACATAACCGACACGAGAGAAGTCTGGAATGTGCAAAACACCATGTTCCAAACCAATACAATCTCAGACACCATGATGGTGTTGAACAGGTGGAAATGCCTGCAGATGACGGAACAACAGAACATATCAACTTTCACGCAACATGTGAACAATGTCCTCCAAGACCTCAAGCAATAAACTAAGAGCAGTCAAGAGAGGTGATTGTTCATTGCATCCTCAACTGCCTTTTTCGCCACTTTGAGAAACTAGTATCTAAGATATTCTCTGTGAAAACTTTGCCTACTCTGCAAGAAGTTTGGAACAGAAACAAATTACAGAAACAAATGCGGCATGACGACGGTTGACGAAAATCCTTGATGAAGCTCTCCTCATGAAGGTAAGAAATCTATACAACCAGCGTCGTTATGGAAACAATGGACGTCATGAAATGCGACATACCAGCACTCCATCGAGAAGACACTGGAATTGACAAGGATCCAGTGAACTCCATTGATCATATGTAGGAGGATCATCAAGACCGCATAATATTCCACTCATATATAGAAGATGTGGCAAACCTGAACATACCGCTTGGTTTTATAGAGCTCCTGAGTCTCTGCCATATCAACCAAACCCACCACGAGCCTCCTATTATTTAAAAGAGAACCATGGAAACACATCATTGGCAGCCAACCTTTGAGTAAATCTGATAGAAGAATACGCCAATGAGTACTACTTACCAGAAAACTCCTCAGATCTGCCAAGTGACAACTGTACAAGAAGCGGTAGAATTGCCAGCAGTTACAGAGTTGAGTTGAAGGAAAAGAGTGGATTATAGATTCAGGCGCTTCCAAACACTTTTCAAGAGATTATTCAATGTTTAGCAATGTAGACAAATCACAAAATACACTGGTGACATCAACCGGCAAACAAAGTCATGTAATTGGTGGTTAAGGCACAATTGACCTATTTGGTACCAAATATTTCGACCTTTACCAATAGAGAAAAATCTTAAAAACCTTAAAGGATGTTATCTATGTTCTTGGTTTCTATGGTAACATCCTATCTATTGGCGAAATCTTTAATGTAGGAAATTTCTGCATCTTCAGTTCCACACAATGTAGTATAGTATCAATTCAAAAACTATACATAATAGTAGCAAAAAGAACACATGATCCAAACAATAGATTGTATAAATTAGAGTATCTAGAACCAAAATTTTGAATAGGAAAAACCAAACAACTAGCCAACCTTACAATAAAAAAATAATCTAGGACTACACAATCTAAAAATTTCCTCAAAAAACCTATCTATACTTTGGTATAAATGGTTAAGACACATAAATGCTAAAAGTCTAACTACTATGAGCTCTTAAGAACTAGTCATTAGGCTATCAAGATTTTTGGTCAAAAACATCCTATGCTGAGTCTATCATTAAGTAAAACAAGCTTGTGATAATATTTTTGAGAAGTCTCATTGACGCACTACATCTCCTTAAACACTAATATATAGAGATGTTTGTAGTCCTCTACCAATCAAAATACTAAGAAACCCTTACTATTACATCTTATTTAAAGACATACATATAACCAAATATAGAGATACAAATTAGATTCTTCATTTCAAATAAGACTTTATGTAGGGACATATTTTAAATCAAAGGCATATCACATCTATTTATCCAAACTTCACAAAGTGCAAGTGACTTGCAATCTTGACTTTAATGAAACCATATTTTTAAATTCAAATAAAAGAGTCAACTTTCATCTATAAGTTTCTTAATGCCTTATACCTAGACCTTCTTACTTACAAAGACTTTGTTAATTATCAAGATTTTCATGTAGATAATTAGCCTATGACATGCTTCAAAGATAAGATATGATAAGTTTAATACATGATTATAAGACCAAAGATTCAAAATAAGAAAGAGAGATTACGACCTCTATGTGGTATATCACAATAGAAGAATTTTTCTTTTAATATTCTATATTGATGATCTCAAATTTATAGGCAATCACAGAAAGTAGATAATTTGATTCAAGATAACACTAAAAATCAAATTTGAGATGTCAAAGCTTGGCAATAATGATCTCATGTTATACCTCAAGGTTGAAATTGTCTGTTCATGATATATAAAAACTATGTATACAAGGTCATTAAGCTCTATGGACCTGAACAATGCCAAATTTTTATTACATCTATAGCGGAATAACTTAAAATAATTCCAAAAATGCATGAAGATATAATAAACTTCACATACTACAAGAAATAATTAAAAAATTAATACAAATGAATTATATTTGGTCAAACTTATTACATTCAATCAATATTATAAGTAGATTCATGCAACAATTTGAAGAGCTTCAAATAACAACAACTATATGTATCATTTGATACATTATAGATACATGTGATTATGAAAGTCCAACGCATGTGATTGCATCATATTGGACTACATACACATTGATTAAATAGAAAATTAAATAGTTGATAAATCAACAATAGATTTTATTTTCAAGATCGAAAAGAGTCCTATCACTTAGATATCCAAAAAACAAGCTATTGTAGCCCTCTCTTCATCCAAAGCTAAATATATGGGCCTTTTAATAACATCTCATAAATTTGCATGGCTTGATAAATTAGTATAGGATTTTGGTCTCAACATACTAAAATCTATTATCATATATTATGATAATAAAAGAAATATTAAGATGGCTATAAATTCTAATATTAATTTCTAAAAAAATATATATTTTTATATACCATTGTTTCATTTGTAAGAAGATAGAAAATAAAAAAATTCAATTAAAAATCGTACCTTCTTTAGAATAAGAAGCTAACATATTTACTAAGCCTTTAGAATGTAGATTTTTAAAAAAGTTTCAAACTTAAATTAATATTATGTCACTAGCTACAATACAGTCTCTAATTTTATTTACATAAATTCAGCACAACATACTTTTTAAATTGTTCATTCAACCTATAACTTTGTCAACATAATCTGCCTTATTTTTCTTCTAAAGCAAGCTTGTAGTAATAGGCTTACACTATCTCATTTCATTCAAAAGCCATAAGAAGGGAGATCTCACCATTCAACCCATTTGTATTTTCTACTCCAATTCTATTCCATTTGGCTTCTATTATCTAGTATCTCTAGTCTCCAATTTTTTTTTTTAATAAGTGTAATAATTTATATATATATATATATATATATACCATCATTGGCTTTTAGACGTTGAAGCAATCACATCACTATTACTTGATGTGTGATCTCTAAAGGCAACTTAAATAAGTATTTTAATACATTTTTGACCTATTCAAGGCTCTGACAAAGAACATCATCTTCTATTACAGAAAATCCTACTTCTTTCTTAATATTTTTTTACTTAGTCTAACATGGGAGAATTTTTTTTCAAACAAAAATCCAATCTATGGATCCTTTGTATTGCAACATTTGAGACCAAATCCTACCAAAAGGTAAAATAAAAGAATAACAAGCTCATTTGCATCTCAAGTTTTTCAAAAGTAAGCCATCTTGAAATTGATAAATTACCTCTTTTTTTAGCTAATTGGCCTCTAACAATTCTTGTGAGAAATTTAAGACATTGTGAAAGGATACACAACTATAAATATTTGCCACTACATTCTTTTTTAGATTACAAAGAGATAAACCATCTAGCTCTAAGCTACTCCAAAGCATACTATATGTATCTTTTTTAGGAAATAAGGAAACATTATCTCTATCAAATAGATAAAAAATGTCAAAAAAATCTATAAATCACCTTAAGTATTATCTAATAAAGCATTGTTGGAGTAGAGAGAGTTTGTTTCAAGAAAGCACTGAGCTTCTTGCTATCACTAATGGCTCAATTAAATCTCAAGATAAAAAAGTACTAAGTTTATATTTAAAATTATCCACATGAGGGTAATTATATTAATACGTAAGCTTGTCTTTGAATTACTTGTGCTATCTTCAACTTCAAATAATTCCTTCATACAAACTCTAAATATAATAATTCTTTGATGAAAGATGTAGATCTTAAAATTATTCTTGTAGTTGTATTTTTTTATTCATAAAAGCTATTATACAATTCCTCATATTTTCAAAAAAGCAATAATATGTCTAAAAATATCCCTTAATTTCAAATGGATATATCTTCTTCATCCTAATTCCAAATCCTCTCAATTTTATACACAAATTATAGTTCAAACTCTAGACCTTAGAATTCTTACTTTTGATTTTGAGATTTTTCTTTTGAAGTTGCTAAAATCCTTGTTATGGTTGCAAAAAGCTTCTTAAAATTTTATTGGTCATGATCTTTGACCAATAGGAATGAAGACCTTTATCTCTTTCTTTCATCCATTCAAACCTTGCTTTAATTCTTCCAAATAAGCTTCTTAGAAGTTTGAATCTTCATCTTTAAGCTCTTATCTTCTTTCAAAATTTTATA